CTTTTTTTTAGCAGTATCCATGTCTATAAGCTAATGCACTTTTTTTGTTTACATCTCCATGGGTACACATCTACTTCATTAGACAGGGGAATGGATAGATTCTCACATTAGAAACCAAAGTCATGCAGTATATAACTGACTTCAAGAGGATTGGTCAACAACCACATTGCATTTTTGGCACAGCAGAATTCATCAGAATCAGTGATGGAAAAATGGCTATCCGTCCATATTACATAGGGAGATAGATTGTTCTTCTCTGACCATAGATAAAAGCTGTGGTGCCTGGAATCAAAGACTTATGATTTGTGGCTTATGTGTGCATCACTCAGCTGTAGATCATCAAATCATCTCTATTTTTGTTAATTGTTAAGTTACTTGCATTTTTAAGGTTTAACTCCTGAGTTATTGTCAATTTAATATCTGCAAAGTTTTATGTATGGCCACCTTTAGGCTAGGTTCACACCAGATGCAGTGCTTTCTGGTCCGATTTGGGCTAGAAAGCACTGCATCGCGGCCGGCTCACTTTTTTGTGGGGTAGGAGGGGGCGTGGCTATGGTACCATTCACTTTAATGGCCGCAATGCGATCGACCGCACGGGAACGCAAGGCACATTGTGCCTGCAGTCTGGTGCGATAAAAATAGTGCTTGCTACGGGGGCCATTCACTTCAATGGCCCACCATGCCTCCTCCTGCCCCACAAAAAAGTGAGCTAGCTGCAATGCGATGCAGTGCGTTCGGGCCGGAACGCACTGCATCTGGTGTGAACCTAGCCTTACAAACTGATCCCTGCATGGGAGTGTCTGGGTTTATTATATTCAGCTGGTGGGCCTCCTGTGTTGTAATAGGGAAAGTTGCAGTGTTGGCATCCTTTAGGCCTTGTTCACACCAAATGCAGAGCAGATGTGCATGAGTTTCTGCACACGCAGTACAGTGGGTTGTGCCGCGTTTTTTATGCGTTCCGGGCCATTTTTGGTTAAAAAATAAATAAATTAAGTTTTTTAAATGGGCTTTCAGTGCCTTCCAGCCATTTGCATGCATTTGTGATGCGTTTGCATGCGTTCCAGAGCAGGTAAAATAGGGCCTGCTGCAGTTTTTTTACCTACTCTGGAACTGAACGCTGCAATGTGAACTGGAGCTAAAAATACTATTGGAATACATTGGACGCAGTTTTGCTCCGGTCTGTAACTGCTCTGCTCTGCTCCTGCTCCGCGCTTGGTGTGAACAAGGCCTTAGTAGTAGATAACCCTTTGGGAGTATCTCACCAAAAATAAAATTCCTATTGCAAAGGATGTCCAAATTATACTTGTATCTTGGTGCAGAAGACTGGGAAAATCAGTCAGCCAATCACAGAAGCAGGAAGTGACATTTCTTAAGGTACCCATACACTGCTCGATTCTCGTACGAGAATCGCGGGAAATCCCGCGATCGTACAAGAATCAAGCAGTGTGAACGGAGACGTGCGACCGTTTCTACTGTACGGGCGCCCGTCTTC